TAATATCCCTCATGACCATAGATGCAAAAATTCTCAACAAAATGCTAGCCAACAGAATCTAGCAACACATCAAAAAGATAATACATCATGATCAAGTGTGATTCATATCAGGGATGCAAGGATGGTTCAACATTAGAAAAACGATCAACATTATCCACAACGGTATCAAGAAGATACTTCTTGAAAGAAAGACCGACAGGAAAAATACAAAACTAACAGTAGTCCAACTGACTACTACAAGAACAATCAAGTTGCTTGCTCAGGAGACATCAAGGCAGATGATTGGGTTCCCTCAGGGCAAACCCCCTGCCAAGACTAAGATTCAATGGGAATACACGAGCAGACATGTATTCTGATTGGTGACCATGTTCATCACCCGAGGAGGGAAAGTGAGGGAAAAACAGCAATGAAACTGCAAGCTAAGCCCTACAACGTTCAATAGACTCCTGTGAACCCGGCTGGAGACCTGGTTGGCCAGCAGTGTGGCAAGACCTGGGGTCTCTTGGGCCCAGAGTCAGTGACATAGCCACAAAGGACTAGAGTGGAGAGTGAAGCATCCAGCTGATAAGAAAAGAGGGCATATGCATAAGGACACCCACACTTGCAGATAATACCCACTTGACCTGGCTTCAATGGCTAGATAATCAGAGCTCAATTAGAAGAAGAAAGAAGAGGAAAAAAAAGAGTAATCTGATACAATCTGATGAACTTGACCTATACCTATAGATGCAGTAGCTCAAAAGAGGGAACAAATCTTTTCAGCAAGGATCATTCCCATTCCCTCTATACACAGAGTAGACAGGGATGGGCAACTTGGACATTGGCTACCTAAAATGGGGGGTGTGTGTGCCTACAAAGGCAAGAAGTGACTGGCTTACAAGCTTTCAAGAGGGAGCCTAGATTGAGAGGGTGTGGAAGAAGGTAGAATCTCCACTGAGTAGTATCCAATCTGTCTGGGCGGGGCTGAGGAAAGGAGATGGGGATTGGTTTCTTGTGGTACAATAGTGAATAATTGTTATCAGGACTGACAGTGAGGTTTGGAAATGTAAAGGTAGACATTTTGTAGCAAAAGGAGGGAGTGACTGACTTTGCAGTCCAGGAGCAGAGGTCCCTGGGACTCATCAAGGGAGAAGAGTGGAGTGCGGGACCCTACCCAGAGAAACAGTGATGCCAGAGATGGAGAGGGGCTGTGTGCTGACAACCAAGGTGCAGGCTTGTGGGGTTATACCCTGTGGTCATGTGATGATGCATGGAAGGGATTGTAATCATGCCAATGAAAATGATGTACGATAGGATGAATGTAAAGAATGTTTTCCCATGTAAACTATCATATAATTTGTAATAAAACATTAAAAATAAATCAAATGACATAATGCACTAGGCAAATCTGCTGCACAAGTCTATCTAAAGTGTTCAAGAGCAGAGATGTCAGTTAAGAACTAAGGTGTGCCTGATTCAAGCCATGGTATTTTCAATTGCCTCATATGCAATCAAAGTTCGACAGTAAGACTGTAAAAGAATTGATGCATTTGATCTCCATCTTTTTGCTATTGCCAATAGTGTTGTGATGAATATCAGTGTGCATACATTTAGTCATGTCCTTGCTCATTATTTCTTGTGGGTATATACCAAGTTTAGGGTTTGCCAGGCCTTAAGAGATTTCTATTTCCAACTTCTTAAGGAAATGCCATACTCTTTTGCAGAGTGGTGGGATCACTTTACAATCCCACCAGCAATGTAGGAGGGTCCCAGTCTCTCAGATGCTCACAGGGTCGCTATGGTTTGAAACCGACGCCATGGCACTTAACAACATATATAAAAATTATTAAATAATTTATTAATAAAATTTTTAATAGAGAATGGGTTTACTGGTCAGAAAGAAATGGGAGGAGCCTGAGACTATGGCTCTCGACACCATGCCGTTCTGAAAAGGTACTTACACTTATGGCCCAAACAGTAGATCGGTTTATAGCAGGGACAGTAACACTAGCAAAGTATGTTCACCATGGAATAGTCAGTCATTCAAAATCAAAGGGGCAACATTTCCCCAAGGACAAGGTTGACAAGGGATGGGAAGGTGTATGGAAGGCAAACAGGAACCACAGGGAGGGGATTGTAATCATCGAGATGAAACAGTGCGTATGATTTGTTGAAATAAAGCTGATGATCTTTCTATAAACCTTCACTCAATTCACAGTAAAAAGTTGTTTTTTTTAAAGAGCAGATCAAACAAGCAAACAAAAATTGGGCAATACAGACGCCAGGCCACATGAAGATCTTCAAGGGATTGGGGAACAGAAAAGACAAGGGTCTTCCTGCAGAGCAGGCACAGAGAAAGTCTTCCCCTAGAGCTGGCACCCTAAATTCAGACTTGCCGCCTACTGAGCTATGAAAATAGAAATGTGTTAGTTATCCACTTGTATGCAGTATTTCTGTTACAGTAACACTAGATAACAAAAGCCTGACCAATCAACGATTTTTGTTGTAGTTGAGTGCCGTCGAGTAGGTGCCGACCCATAGAGACCCTATATAGGGTTTCTGAGGAGTGACTGGTGAACATGAACTACCAACTGCTTTGCAGTCCAGTACTTTAACCCACAGTGCCACTCCCACCAGGACTCCACTAGCCAACACAGCCAGGCTTAGGTACGTGAATTTTTGGCCTAAAAAATAATGTGTTCCTAAGTCCTGATGTGGCGCTGTGGGTTAATGCACCAGATTGCAAAGTTGTTTGAACTGCAAGGTCAGTGGTTCAAGCTCACCAGCTGCTCCTTGGAAACCCTATACAGGTCATTATGACCTTAACAGGTCATTATGGCCCTTATCAACAAGTGATCCTAATGTCAGAGATGTGGTAATATGCAAACATTTTATCTTTGAAACTGAAAATGCTCCACAATGACAACATTTAAATAGCAGTTTAGGAGCACTAATATGTACCAGATGCTTTATATGTACACAAACCATAGAAGAAAAAGGACGAGGTAGACCTTTTACACTTTAAAAATATTTTACTTGAAATGCATACTGTAGAATTAAGCTATGATGATACACTAATGAGAAAAATCTTTGTAAATATTAGTCCATCAACTATATTTTGAATACATAGTTCTTACACAAAACTATGCCATTTACTAGACATTTAGTTAATGAAGCGTACTCACAAAGACTATGGAGGAAAGTGCTAAGGAACAAAAATGGAATCCACGTGGAATTTTAATACCTAAAAACCATAGCATGTGACCTCAGTGGTAAAGGGGTAAATTATTCAACTAATACAAGCTACTAATCGAGGCATTTGAAAACAAACAAAATTAGATTTTCACTTCAACCATATATGGTCAACTAATATTGTAACAATCATTGAACAATATAAATTAACTGAAACAAGATTTCATGTTTTATATAAAAGGAGTTATACCTGACATGTCTGATTACAAATGTTAATTTCTTAGAGGTCAATGATAACACAGGTCAATGCATTGAACCATACACACTTCTTTCAAGTTGGCTTCTAATGTATTTACATCAAAATTTACAGAAAATAAAACAAATCTTTTTATCAACAGTGCAAAATAAATTTCCCCAAAGTTCACTTCTGAATTGCATAAGTTCTATAAAATGTAACCTTGTTTCAGATACAATGTCTTTAGCAATTACTTGTCGTTGTTAAGTGCCGTTGAGTCGATTCCGACCCATAGCAACCCTATATAGGGTTTCTGAGGAGTTGCTGGTCAGCTTGGACGGCTGACCTTGCAGTTCAAATGGTTTTGCAGTCTGGCGCATTAATCCACAGTGCCACACCAGGACTTAATAGAGCCCACTAAATCAATTGGCTTAAAAATGTTTCTTCTTTCACAAAACAAACAGTTCAGAGGTGGAGTGGCTATAACAGCTCGTCAGTGGCTCAATAACATCATCCAAGTCCCAGGTTTTCTGTCTTTGTGCTCTGTCATTGTTGAGATTTAACCAGGCATCATGAGACAAGGTAATGTTCACTACACCCTGTATGAGGAAACTTTTTTTTCCCCCTCCAGAAATAATTAATACATACTCTCTGTGTCTAGAATTGGCTCCGTACTAAACCAATCACTGGCACTGAGAATGGGCTTTTCACTAGCGACTGAAATGAATCAGATTTATCTCAACTCCTGAGAGGAGCAGACACAGAAACTCTGCCAGTAAACAATGAGGAAGGAGGAAGACGTGACTTAGGGTGTCACTCAACAATATCTGCCACAAGCCCGTATTAATGTGTTATCAGTTAATTCAGTAATAGCAAAGAGCATGCACAATGTTGAAAAGCATATCGTATCAAGTAAAAGAAAGATACAGGTAATTCCTAAATTACTCATTATCTGCACACTTATGTAGGCATACAAATAGAACATAAGAATAATATACAAAAATGGGTATATTTTAAATGTATCTTAAACCACAGGGTGCAATGAGTACTACAGCTTTTCATTCCTGGAACTTTCTGGCTTATTAACAATGAAAAATTAGAGTCTTCTATCTATTTTATGCATAGATTTCTTGATCTTTTGTGGATTCAGAAACAACTGAAAACATTATAAAACCACTGACTTTTTTATAGATGATGATTCAGTTCATCAACAATAACCAAACACACCTATAAATCCTAGTAAAGTACAAAAACATACACTACATTCCTGTCAAGTGTTATTTCAATGACAATGGATATTAAAATATTAACATGGTGGTATTACTTAGAATTGATAATTTTACCATGTTTTTATAAATTATTCTAATGCAGATACTCTGCCTTTTCAGACTATTCAAAATGAACAATTACTGTAATGTAGCACACTAAAAAACAAAATAAATAAAAGTAAGCCCTGCCTACTCAGGAATTGCTTCTACATGTTTAATGTTGCTGCTTAGATGAACTACCCTGGTGATTTTACAGCTTCTTTCTATACAAGGAGACTGTCTACTCACAGCAGATTTCTTCTGGTGTTTAAAAATAAAAAAAGTTTTATATTATATCAGAAACATTTTTTTAGTATTAACAATTCCCAAATATGAATTATGCTTTCAACATTCCTTGACAGATTTTCCTTGGTATGAATTCCCTGATATGTTAAAACATTTTCAGTTCATAGTGAAAATGTATACACATTATAAATATTTACACAATTTGACTTCAGTATAGTCTGGTATCCAGTGAGTTACAGATCTTGATGAAGGGATCAACAACCTTGTGAATGTTCAGATTAGAAGTGTGACTGACGCACAGAGGCTTTTCTGTAGTCACCTGTGTGGGCTCTGATGTATAGGACTTGGCAGGATTTGCGTATTCATATGTTGAGAGGGTTCTGTGGCATAAAATGAGGTCTGACTTCAGAGAAGCCTTTCCACATCAATTACATTTAGGTTCCCTTTCCTATGAATTCTTTGATGGCTGTTGAAGGCTGACTTGTGATAGAATTTTTTCCCACACTCATTACATTCATAGGGTTTCTCTCCTGAATGAGTTCTGTAGTGTACAGTGAGGTATGACATCCGAGAGAAGGCTTTCCCACACTCATTACATTCAAAGGGTTTCTCTCCTGAATGAATTCGATGATGTATAGTTAGATAGGACATCTGAGAGAAAAATTTTCCACATTCATAACATTCGTAAGATTTCTCTCCTGTGTGTGTTCTCTGGTGTCTGTTAAGGGCTGAATTCTGGCAGAAAGTTTTCCCACATTCACTACATTCATAAGGTTTCTCTCCTGAATGAATTCGATGATGTATAGTGAGGTATGACATCTGAGAGAAAAATTTTCCACATATGTAACACTCATAGGGCTTCTCTCCTTTGTGTATTCTCTGGTGTCTGCAGAGGGCTGAATTCTGATAGAAGGATTTCCCACATTCATTACATTCATAGGGTTTCACTCCCGAATGAGTTCTATGATGTACATTGAGGTATGACAATTGGGAGAATAATTTTCCACATTCATTACATTCATAGGGTTTCTCTCCTGTGTGTACTCTCTGATGTCTCATGAGGGCTGAATTCAGATAGAAGGTTTTCCCACACTCATTACATTCATAGGGCTTCTCTCCTGAATGAGTTCTATAATGGACGGTGAGATATGATAACCGAGAGAAAAACTTTCCACACTCATTACATTCATATGGTTTCTCTCCTGTGTGTGTTCTCTGATGTGTAGTAAGAGTAGACTTACGACAGAAGCACTTCCCACATTCATTACACTTATATAGTTTCACACCTGTATGAATTTTATGATGGTCATTAAGTGCTGACTTCTGGGAGAAGGTTTTTGCACAGTAATGACAAACGTAGGGTCTCTCTCCTGAATGTGTTCTCTGGTGCTGTGTGAGATGGGTCTTCTGGCAAAAAGATTTTCCACAATAGCTGCATTCATAGGGCTTCTCTCCTGAATGAGTTCTCTCATGTTGAATAAGGTGTAATTTCTGGTAGAAGGTTTTCCCACATACACTACATTCATAGGGCTTCTCCCCTGTATGTGTTCTAAGATGTACAGTGAGAGTTCCCTTTTGACAGAAAGATTTTCCACACTGATTACACACAAAAGGTTTCTCTCCAGTGTGAGTCCTTTGATGTATAATAAATTTTGACTTTTTACAGAAGGATTTCCCACACTGGCTGCATTCATAGGGCTTCATTTCCATATGAGATCTCTGATGGACACCAAGGTTTGACATTTGCAGGAAGGTTATTTCAGATTCATTCCACTTACAGGATTTCTCCTCCATATGATTAACAAAGACAGTCTCCCTTTGGAAGGCTTTCTGACATTCAATATATTCAAAGGGTTTCTCCAAAATTTGAATTTTCTGATAAATACTTTCATCATTTAGAGTACTTGCTTCCCCATTTTGATTAAATGCATAATCTTGATCTCCTGGATGAGTTTTCTCAAGTTTAATGTTAAGAAGTGATTTCCCACATCCACTACATTCATCAGGGTTCATTCTTGCATAGCTTCCATCACTACTAATATAGCCAGATATAGATGCTAGGCTCTTCTCACATGAGTCACATTTATAGGAGATTTTCCTTGAAGGATCAGGTCTTGTTTCTTCAATAAAAGGTTTCCCAAGGACACCGCCTCTGTCTTCCATCAGGGTCTTGTTGGTGTCGACCGTTAGTCCTGAGAGTTCATCTTCATTTTTCTTGACTTGCTCAATCGGGTCATCAACTTTCTGGGCTTCTTCTAAAAAGAGGAAAAATTAACAAAACTTTGTACATCTTCCTACATAAGATATGGAAGGGGACTTATAAGTAATATCTTATTGTGGGGTAGGTGGTGACTTTATGGAGAGATGCAAATAATTGCAAGTGTATTTTTCCCCCTTAATTCATCTGCTTTGGAACAAAACATACAAACACACACATAACCGCCAGTGGTCGGCGAAGGGGGGAAGCAACAGTGACAAAGAACACAGTACTTGCTCTTTGCTATTTTGTAAAATTTTATTCCAAACAAAGCATAGAAGGTGAACTATAGGCAAGGTTCAGCAATCAGAAGACAAAGGGTGTTGCATGAATGGCAGACATGGCAGATATGAAAGGACCCACATTAAACTGATAGGATGATCAGGACTGCTGCTGGATGAGAGCATGGTCTCCAGGTATGGATTCGATTGTTAACTTTAAACCTTACTGTTTATGTCAAATTGGGAGAGGCAGATTACAATCTAAAGCATTACAACAGTGCACTGAGACTTTTGTAGTAGTATTTTTGTCTAGATCCATTAAAACTCTTTCCTTGATCTTCTCCATTTTGCACTTAAATTTCCTCATGTTTAGAAAATAATCTGAGCTCCTAAATGCACTTCAATTTCACTTGATAGGAGAGTCCACGAGACATATAAGTCCAACAGGAAGCATTGAACAGAACACAGAACATGTTGACCTTTCAAAAGTTTCATGTACTCTAACGACATTACTATTTAATACTGAGCTCTTTCTGAACATCAATATTGTAATTTGCTCCCATTGGACAATATAACATAAACTCTGGCTAGGTGACCTAGGGCAATTTATTTTAAAACCCTCTGTGAGTCAATTTCATCTACCTGTTAAAATGGTACCTAAATCACAGGGGGAGTAATGTAATAAATACAATGTACTCAATACAGAATTTAATACAAAATGGATGTTCGATAAGTGTAGTGATTATTTTTGCCATTTTCAATCTCTTGACAGTTGTCTTCAACCAGCCCTTTCTCTGGCATTCTAAAGTTACTAAATTCAGTCTGTGATTAGTGCTTCCCTACTCCTTGGGTTTCATTCAGTGCAGCAACTTTAAGACTCAGACTCCTCAGCTTCCTCCTAAAATAATGACTTTCATTTTTATCTTATGAAATTGTGGACAGATTTGACTATTATACTTGTGATCTATCATCCATACTAAATAAAACTAGATCAACCTTGTCCTCCAAAAATTACAACATCCCTGAACCTATGGCCAAAATATCAACACATAAAGGGGCGGGACGAATTCTGATAAATTATCTTATGGGGAACTACCCAATGCTTTAAAAAACAAAAACTTTAAATCCTTTTACACTTCTTTTAGCTCCATTTCTCCTTAAAGGTAGAAAGTGATACTGTCCACAAAATCATTTTAGCACAGAGTGGTTGAGCCTTGCATTGGAACATAAGCATTCTGTGTAAAATGCTGAGCTTTAAACCACTCCACACAGTTCTGTTCTCTTTTCTTAACCAAAACCTATCTTCTAAAAAGTATGACTCCATTGCCATTTTTTTTTTCAACCCCTGAGTATAAATTAAAGAAGTTAATTCTTAATCTGAATTATATTGGTATCTTTAAAGTACCTGTACAACATAGAGGGGTGTGACCTATAAATTATTTCTGGATAAACAAGAAAGTTCTTTTCACTTACCTGGTTCCTCAAATAATCAAATACATAAATGTCTATTACTATTTTAAACACACCCTTCTCTTTATAGGATTTTAATCCAGGGGAGAAAATAAACTCAAGCAAAAAATATATCCCATCAAGTAACAGACTATGTGATCAGATCTGTTTTTAATGCAGTGCCACTGGGTGGGAAAAAATTTAAGAGAAGGCAGAGATTGGAGTGATGATAGAGTAGGGAAGGGGAAACTTCCAATTGAAAAATTTGAACTCAAATCTAAATGTGTTATCAGGGCAAGTAGGTATCGCCCAAACAAAATATAAAGCTGTAGGGATAAATCTATGTGAACAGAATACATGAAAGAGTCTGGACCAAGTGGAGTTTAGTGAGAGTTTTGGGGAAAGGTAGAAATTGAATTTTGATAGATAATAACAGGGTCATACAACAGTGGGGACCCTGAAATGACAAGGAATTTAATTAAATTTCCTTTAGGAAGTCATAAGGAAAGCTACAGACTAGTGGTAAGACCAACTAACTGTAGACTTCAGATGAACACACTTTACAAACTATTTAATTAGAATTCAAGTCAATCCAGGCATGCCAAAGTGTCTGTTTACATTATATCAAAGAAAACTAAGACCAGACAGCGAATAAGTTAGGACATTTCACATGGAACAAAAAAGCAACCATCATGGAGAGAGCAGTAATAGTTACGGAGTAGATTTTCTGAAAGGACTCCACAGTGAGGAAGGAGAGCAGCAGTAGGATTTAGTGCACGACGGGATGTGGGAGAGGTGAGCAGAAGTCATCCCTGGGAAGAGCTGCTGATTTCATTTCACACTTGATGGGAATGAAGCAAGTGCTGTACTATGATCACATAAAACACTGACAAGAGCACAGTTGGACAGTGATGGTAGAGGCATCAACCGGGGTGTAAGCATCATAAAAACAAACAAACAGAATTTTGTCAGGCACGAGAATGAAGTAGCCCTTTGAGAAATGCAAGAAACTAGGAAAACCACAGAAGATAGAAACAGATCCTCCAGAGACTTTCCTGGACAGGTGGGAAAGGGGGTAAATGACTCAAAATGCACAGATATGTAACATACTTATTGAGTACCTGTTCTGACAGTAATTTTTTTCAAAGCAATGGAAAAGAAGAGTAAATAGAGAAACCAGATGAAAATGAACATTTGGAGGGAAGAGTGAGAGCCCCAGTTACCGTAGAAGGGGTGGATTTAGCCACAATGAGCAGCATCACTGTCCCATGAAACCGGAGTGAGCACAACAACAACAACAGCTTAGGCACAGGATGGTGATTTGGCATCTGACCTCAAAGAAAGAGATGTGAACCGTGAACCTGGGGACAGAAAGCAGTCTACGGCATTTTACAGTCAACGAGGCGAAAAACAAGAAGGAAATAAGAACATAAGAGCCACATAAGTTATTTTTTATGATGGACTCATGAATGCCTAAAAACAAATCAATGGTAACGGGTTATTGGAAATGCTAGAGAGAGCGAAAGCCAAAACACAAGGCTTGAAGAGGAAGGAAGCGACTGGATTCTGGTTAACAGTCAGCAAGTAAATGTGCTAAAACATCATAAGGTTTGTGGGGAATGAGGGCTGGTGGTGTCTCCAATGCACAGAAATAACTATCTCTAGTCACTGCTAAAGGTTTGGGACGATTAAAAAAAAATCCTAGAAAAACACCTCCAAGTTACCAATCTCCTCTCTGCCTCCACTAACACACCTGGATAACTCTGAAGTAGGAATTCTCCTTCTACTATCCATGGCTCTTCTCCTTGCTCCAACTTGGTGATAACATCCGGTTTGATAATGGGATGCCCTGTTGATGAGAAATGGAAGAGAACTTGAGCCTGCTGCTTGTTTCGGGGATCTCTGACACAGGAGGAACGTGCTACGAATGTACTAACTGCACCATGTATATGCCCATCTGGGCTTTACCAAAATTAGAACCTGGCATCAGGGAGAGAAAGACAAACAACACCCTGCCTGGTGCCCAAAAGAGATTAAACACATTTCCCCATCAAAGTTAAAAGGCACTACATTTGAGAGCAGCCCCCTGTATTTTAGCAACTCAGAACTCCTCACCCAGTGAAATGAGATGACTGTAGTTCTCCAGCATTACGTCCTTGTATATTGTCTTTTGAGAAGTGTCCAGTCGCTGCCACTCCTCCTGGGTGAAGTCCACGGCCACATCCTTGAATGACACTGACCCCTGCAATGGCACCGTGATTGGAATTGAGTGACATGAACAATACATGCATTGATGAGAGCTTACCAGGCTCACCGGTAAAATTTGCTACTAACACTGTACACATTACAGACTTCAGAAGGAAAATAAACACACTGCCATGCAGTTTATTCAGTATGCACGAGAATAACAACAAACGACAGCTCTCACCCGGAACTAAGCTCAGTATTAGCTGTTCGGGGATAAAATGCACACACATGTCCCTACAGCCAAGGAGCACAGGGGGCTCCAAAGGCCCTTCATGCAAATGAAGGAGGCCTGCTGCCCCGTGGGGCCCTCTCTTCATTCTGCTTCCAGAACATTCCTACTGTTGGTTCTCTGCCTTCCATGACTTCCTCATCCTCAGTCTCCTTTGCTGGCCTCTCTTTTTCTCCAAGTCAAACTTGTGTGAGTGTGCCCAGGTCTCAGTCTTGGCTCCATTTCTTGTTTTCATCTGCACAGCACGGCTTTAACTACTATCTGTATGTATGCCAACAGAGTCCAAATTTACATTACCAGCCAAGCCTCTCTCTTCAGCTCCACATGGTGGTGGTGGTGGTGGTGATGTGCTGTGGAGTCAGTTCGGACTCATAGCGACCCTGTAGAGGGTTTTGGAGGCTGTAAATCTTTGCGGGTGCAGAACAGCTTATTTTTCTCCTGCGGAACCGCTAGTAGTTTCAAACTACTGATCTTGAGATTAGCAGCCCAACTCGTAACCACTATGCTACCAGAGCTCCTTCCAACTCTACATACCTGGAATGAAATAGCTGCTCCTCCCACCTCCTCATTTTTCCAGTTCTGTCCTCGCGCTCAGGGAGCTACTCCAACTCCTCACTCCCTTGTCCCCTGCCATTGCTGCTCTAGGGCCTCACACGTAACAGTACTCATACTCCAACTCAACCACCAACCAACAAGAGAGATGTTCTGGGCCTTGACGTCTCAATGAAGCTAGGGATGGCATGCTGGGACAGAGCCAGCTTGACACACAAGCAAAAGCAGTAGAAGCACAGCTGCTTCATCATACAGCAAGGGAGTCTGGGAACTGTCGCCGTTAGCTATATAGCCTCTGAAGAACACAGGTACAACACATCAGAAGGACATTGGAACCAGTATGCAGTTATTTGCCACAAACACCTAAGCAAGGAGCAAATCAGACAACAACATACACTCTAGTCTTGTGTTGTACTGCAAACTAAGTCTACAGCAGATCTGATCACAGCTGCTCCACAAGTTACCAGGAAGAATTTGGTTAGGGTTCCCATGACTCCCAGCCTGAGAACTATGAATTCCCTTTCTTCCATTGATACACTGGAGGAGAAGAGACGCAGTCCTGAACAAGGGCAGGCAGCTAACAATAGGCCTGAAGCTATCTAAACCTTAGCTTTAAATGTGTACCTTCCAAACAGACTGTCCCAATCACAATTAATTCAGGCAGTTTACTGTTAACTGTTTTCACCTCTAATATAAAAATAATAATGGTATCTGTATCACATTATATAGCATCAATATTAAATGGGTCAACTCATATAAAAAGCTTAACAATTCTTTGGACATAATACCAGTAGTCCCTGATTTACGATGTATTAGTTATGCTGAATCACATGACTATGCTTTAAAAAAAAAAATTTGTATATTTTTATGTATATAAAACGTATCTGATATACTCTTAAAGATAATGTTTCCAAGCCCCAAAGACAAAGATCAGGTTTATAAAGTTACTGATAATGTCGTTGTGAGGTTCTGTGCAGTCAATTCCGACTCAGAGACCCTGTGCACAGAGAACGAACAGCACTGAGTCCTGCGTGAGTCTCGCGATACTAACAAAAGTTAACAACATTGAAAAGGAAAATAAACATAGGCATTCAACTATGTCAGAACTAACTTACAACCAAGTGGCTGGGGCAGAATCTGCATATATATATATAAATGAAATGATATCTGCTTCATAAAATCTGTAAGAGCCGGAGCTCACCTGGATAGCTTTTCTTTTCTGGGTCTCAAAAGTTTTCTACCTTTGATAGGGTGAAATATTACCACTTTTCTATTGCTTGTTGGGCAATCTTTGAGCTTTTCTTCTTTGTCAGGTTTCCCACCTTTCACAGGCTTTCCTATATTGTTGATTATCTACTGTGTATCTTAACACTAACTCATCCAAATTAGTACAGAAAATGAACTAAAAACCACAGAGGTTAAGTTTAAACAAGGTAATGTGGCTGCAATGTGCCTCAAAAAAAGTAAGATTATAAAACGATCTATGTTTTTTTTTAAAAAAAAGCATTCAGATGATTTCGACAAAATGTGGAGGGAAGAAATGTGGTATGGGAGGCTGGGGAAGGGAAAGATGATGTCATGCTCTCAGAGGCCATCTGGAATACAGACAAACTCCTGGTGTGAACTGGAGAGTGGCAGTTTCTGTATGTGAAAATAATGCAGGCCTGCTGGCAGGATTCTGAGACGTTTGGTGAACGGACTCTCATTTTCCCTCAGCTCTAGGTTCAGAAATGTCCATGGCTCAGGCTTTGCTGGGGAAGCTGAGCGCCTGAGAGCTCAAGCCAGAGACTGGCTGATGGCTGCTGCACCACATCCAAAGTAGAGGGCAGAATGCTTGCCCAATTCAGACTCATCTGAGCGGCCCCAGCCTACGATGTGTCCCAGAGGAGGAGAGAGTTGGTACGGCAGAAGCCCTGCTCAAGCTTCAACTGGCACAGCCCGTCATGGCTGCTCTAAAAAGGAGCCAGGGATCTGGACGTGAGCAGATGAATTGCTCTTCCTTGCTGAGCGATAGTAAGTGCTTGGTGCTCTGTTTTGGCAGAGTGAGTTTAGTTCATACAACCAAGTGGTACCCTCGGTAAACTGTCTGCCAAGCTGAACTTACGGCTTTAGGATTTGTTAACACAATGATTGTACAATGGATCAAAACAGCACAAATGATCCTCAGATCACTCAAGAGGAGGGGAAATGAGGAGAAGACAGACATCACTTTTGGAAAATTCACACAGTGAGATAAAACAAATGAAACGGTACATATCAGTGATTTCAATCAATGTTGTGGTGTAGTGAATTCTCTAATGTCTCCTCTAGCCATTCTCTAGAACTCTTACCAAACGCTGCTGCCCTGTTGGGTCTGGTTAAGAGAAGGTGGGAGAAGATACCGACAGGACAACATGATTTAGCTGTGGATGTTAGCACAGTTCATTATAATTATAAAATTTGGAAGCTTTAGCATGGGTATAAAAATGAGCCATCTCAGCAGATGCAGAAGGGGGTAATCTCACTACCATTAAAGACAAAGAGCCAGGAGGGGAGGACATTCTTTGGACCAGTGATCCCTGCACATTGAACCTCCTCAACCCAGGGACAGAAAGCTGTGACACCGGAGGAGTGACAGAGGAGCAGGAGTAGAATCCACAGCCAGAGCACGACACAGCAATGAACTTCCCAGCACACAAAGCAAGGAAATCTGCGTGACTTTGGGCAGGAGGCTTGCTTGTAGAGTGGGGTGCCTTCAGGCACTTAAGTTGGGGAGCTAGGTTAGCTGACCCACAGAGCTACAGCTGAGTACTTTCAGGCCGAGGCTTGTCCCGTGGGTATTTATCAGCAGCTGACTGGAACAACTGTGCCCTGAGCATTTTCTGACCCTGAATTGTAACTGTTCACTTTCCTAATAAATCCCCTAACTCTGAGTATGGTGTCTGAGTTCTGTGTGGCCATTGCAATGGATTACTGAACTGAGTGGAGTAGAGAGGGTTGTGGGAAAAATCATTTGGTTCATTTTTTGCAAATGTGAACTGGAAAAATCTTACCAAAACATCCTTGAAAGCAAACATACCATTTTATTTCATTTACACTTCTAGCCTAGAGTCCTTATGTTGTTGTTGTTAAGTGCCATCAAGTCAGTTCCAACCAAAAGTGAACCTGTGTAGGATTTCCAAGGTTATAAATCTATTTAGGAACAGAACGCCTCATCTTTCTTCCACAGAACAGTGGGTGGCCTCGAAGCGCTGGCCTTGTGATTTGCAGACCAGTGCTTATCCTATGGAGTCACTGAGCTCCCAGAATCCTTTTGTTGTTGCTGTTAAGTGCCATTGAGTCAGTTCTGACACATAGTGACCCTGTGTAGAGCTTCCAAGGAACAGCTGGTGAGTTTGAACTGCCAACCTGTGGTTAGCGGTCCAGAGCATATATTACAGCGCCACACCGGAATTCCAGAGTCCTTATGCTGTTGTTGTCAAGTGCCATCGAGTCCCATAGTGAACCTTTATATGGTTTCCGAGAGCAGAAAGCCTCATCTTTCTCCTGCATAGTGGCAGGCAGGCTCGAACCGTGGACTGTATGGTCCTCAATACAGTGCTTAGAGAGTCCTTATTGTTGTTTTTGTTAAGTGCCGACTCACAGCAACCTAGTACAGCAACCTAGTACAGAGTTTGAACCACTGACCTTGCGATTCAAATGACCTTGTGGTTAGCAGTCCAGTGTTTATCCTACAACGCCATACCAGGACTCCTTATGGTGGTAGTGGTTGTGTGCCGTGGAGTTGGTTCTGACTCATAGCGACCCTGTACAGGGTTTCCAAGGCTATAAATCTTTACGGGAGCACAAAGCCTCATCTTTCTCCTGCAGAACAGCTGGTAGTTTTGAACTGCTGACCTTGCAGTTCGCAGCCCAATTCGTAACCACTACGCTACCAGAGCTCCTATAGAAGCTCATAATTATTTGCTTTTTGTGTCATTCCCACTATTCTAAGGGATCTTCCTGAGAAGGAAAATGTGATTTTTCTGACTTCCAGGGGCTGGGAGAGTGCTCATCCTTATGGATGAAGAAACGAATAAACAGATGATGACTCAAGTGAGTCAGTCCATCAAATTCTCATGTTAAAAGTTCTTACCAAATGCAAGAGAATGAGAGAACTGTTGTGGACTGAAATGTGTTGAAACAGATGATGGGATCCTAACCTCAGTCCGGTGGACATAATCCTGTTTCGGAATGGGGTGTTCTGTATTATGTTAATGAGGTCCACGTAGTGCGGGTGTGTCCTATAGCAAATCATTGCTGAGGAATAAGGAGTAGCCCGGACACAGGGACAAGCAAGGACAAATGGGGAAGAGATGCTTCATTGAGATGACGAAGGAACCAAGGACCACTCAAGGCTACAGAGGCTGCAACAAAGCCCTTCCCTCTGAACCTTCACTGAGGGCCAGTGTCCTGGATTCTGACTTCCAGCCTCCTAAACAGGGAGAGAACAAATTTCTGTTCTTTTACAACCACCCACTTGTGGTATTTCTGTTACAGCAGCACTAGGAGAGCAGCACAGGCACAGGGCATGAAGCAGTGGTCTAATTTTAACACAGAAGTAGAACAGACTGCACCTGCTCTCTGTTTCTGGTTTTGTATTTGGAATCTCACAGAATGTGCAATTTGTGGGAGTGTTAAAATTGCTTCTAATGTTGCCTCATGAGAAAAAAAAAAAAAAAAAACCAAACACACACTACAATAAGAAAACAACAAAAAAACTAGCGGTTTCCTATTTGGGAAGATGTAAAAGACATGCACTGTTGCTGCTTGAAAACAGCATTATTGTGAACGTTCCACACTGATTCCTTTATCCGGCGATTAAACTTGAGCAGCTGGCCCAAGTTCACATTTATGCATAAAGGGAAGAGGAGAAAACAGCACTGCTTTTGCTCTGGCTTTAAAAAAAAAAGGCAGCTTTATTTTCAGAAAACCTGGATAACAAAATGTTACCACCACCAATTAGAATTGCAGATATTGAGGATTTCAGCTTACTTTCCCCAAGGCCAGGGAATAACCCATGATGGATGGGCCTTAATAGATCACTCTGCACAGATAATATTCCAGAGAGAGCTTTATAATAACAGGACCTGGAGCTGGGTTACATGTTTCCATACAACACAGGAGAGTGAGAAGACCTCTGGAAGCATTCCAGGTTAGCATTTTACCCGAGCTGGCTTTGCATTTGGGGAGGACCTGTTCCTGAGACTCCGTTCATGAGTGCTGAGGAAGGCTTGACATCTCAAGGGTAAGCACTGGGATTGAACTGGTAAATACTGAGAGAAAGACAGTAGTCTTCAGATGACCAGAATATCACAAAGACCCGAGCAGATGTTAGTGGTTGAGCTCTGTGTGTTGCAGTGGCATCTCCTGTCAGATAGCCCACGTGTATCATTGGAAGCTAAACGACAATTCAATGACCCTGAGACTGTGGCCCTTAGTCACCTTTCAGGCCCGGAACTGAACTCACCCCTGTGGCTCAACTTTCACCCATAACAGACAGGTCTACAAAGTGAACACCACCACCAAGGAGCTACACACTCCTTAGAAAAATCAACCACACCAGAGAAAAAAGGCAGCACTTACCCAGGGAGACGACAGTTCAGAAGGCACCAAGGGATAGGAAAGGACGAATGAAAAAGCGAAACACAGGGACCAAGTGGGAAGAGCGCTGTTGCATTGTGGGGATTGCAATTCATGTTACAAAACAAAATGCGTGACTGGTTGGATGGAAAACCAATTTACATTGTAAACTTTCACTCAAATCACAATAAAAAGTTATGGGAAGGGGGAAAAAAAAAGACTGCAAGCGAAGAGAGTGCCTGACCCCCAGGAAAATGACAGACCTGTCAAGCAAGCAAAGGCTCAAGAGTCACTAAGTGAATGCCACACCTGTGTGGCCTATACAAGGGAAAGCAGGAGAGCAGAAAGTCCTTGGGTGGCAGTGAGACTCCGGAACCACAATCCCAGCTGCCGGAGTGCTGCACACGGTCGGTTGCTGTGAGGCTGAAAGCAATACCGTCACTATTTCAAATACCCACAGTGGGCCGAAGACAGACTAGGAAAAAAGGCCTGATAGCCCAGGAAACCCCAACAGATGACAAAAAAAATGACTGTAGGCTGGAGCAGGACAGGGTATGTTTTACCTATTGCATGCAGGGTTGTTATTAGTCAGCGGCGGCAGCACCCCCATCATCTATACGCAGATCTGAGTTATGACCAAGAGGACTTCTGTCCATTTCCGATTTTTCTTATATATCACATTGTTAGTAACATGGACTAGGGACTACATACAACCGTTGCAGCCTGAGCTCTGTTGATGTTATCATTCTCAGACATTCACTCCAAACCCCAAAGACTATGTAAAGTTGGGACTGATACAGATATGAATAATGAAATAACCACAATTGTCAGAACAGAACCATGTCCTAGGTCAGGGCCTACCTGTGTTCAATAAGATGCACCTTAAGTCTATGATCGAAGAGGCTGCTCTTTGTATTAACCAACCCTTGCAACCATATCAAAAACAGGGTGCAAAGCAGGCAGTAATCCAGGAAGCACTGTCAAGACACTCAGGAAACCCTATGTACCCTTCCCGAAGAATCTACAATGTAAATTGTAATCATTCCAAGGCCACCACAGACTCTATCTCAGCCTCCTCCTCACTCTTAGCAGATGAGTCTGATTCCTTGTGCCCTGAGAAAAGAAGAGAATGTCACATGCCCTATGCCATCTCTAGCTTTGTGCCAGTCCACTCCCAACCCACACTGCCAGGCCTTCTTGCTGACTTAAGGCCTTGCCCCAGCAATCCTTGGCTCATATACACATGGCACCCATGTCTACTGAACTGCAATTTTTCAGTCATCAGTAAAATTGCACACACCACTTCCTCCTTGGGCCATGCGCCCTCTGCTTACACAAAGACAACTTCACGGCATGAATAGCACTGACTTAAGGACTATGCTTTGGGAAGGCTTTCTACAACTGTATCAAGACAGTGAAAGAAAACTGTTCAAAACTCAGGAAATCTTTAAAATATATAAGAAAACAAAAATGTTTCTTACGGTCAATGTAATTCCAGTAATGGATGGTGTTAAAGAGATTGAATTGCGTGTTGCCTGCCCCCCCACCCCAAATATGTGTTGTACATCCTATCCCCTGCTTCTGTGGTAGGAGCCCTGGCAGTGTAGTGATTAAGCAGTAAGCTGCTAACTAAAAGGCAGTTCAAACCCATCAGTTGATCTGCGGGAGAAAGATGTGGTAGTTTGTTTCCATACAGATGTCTAACCTTGGACACCCTGTGGGACACTTCTCTGTCCTTCAGGGTTGCTACATGTCAAAACTGACTTGTGGGTAAGGGATTTTTCTACTGGCTTTATTTGATGGGGTTTATTTGTGGCATTAATGTGGCAATATTAGTGTAGGGTATGTTTTAAATTGATCTCTTTTGAGATCTAAAAGAGCAGATTAAGCAAGCAAGCACAGATGGTGGGTGATAAGATGCCATGCCACATGCCACACCATGTGAGACCGCCAAGAAACCAAGAAACAGAAGCTGACAAGAGATAAGGACCTTCCCTCAGAGCCGACCCACACAACAGCCTTCCCCTAGAGCTGGCACCCCGAATTCCAACTTCTAGCCGCTTCAACTGTGAGAGAATAACTTTGTTTGTTAAAGCCACGCCCCCACTTGTGGTATTTCTGTTGTAGCAGTGCTAGATTTAACTCAGACAGATGGTATTCGTCATCTTTTTCACCAGGAACATCAAGCACACCAGACGTATTTGCAGCTCAGCTTTAACAGCTCTGAAGGATCACACCAGCGACACATGTGAACACGGCAGAGAAGCCTGTGTGCTGCTCTGCTGCTCCACATTCTGCTTGGCCACGTCCTTCCTCTTTCTCCACTTGCCCATTTTCAAGACAAGCCCTTGCACATCTCCTAAAAAGTACGGTAAAGCCAAGTAGAGAATAAATCCATGAACAGACTCACCGGGGCCTTATCCATTTTCACTCGTTCTTGGCAAAGTGTGGATGACTCTGAATGAAGGCAGACCTGGGGGAAGGGGGTAAAGAACACATGTAGTGATAACCGTGAGGGGTCAGGCTGCCAGGGAGAATGCTGGCCTATGAGTTTAACTCCTATCAGCAATCCTAAACCTTGTGACACTGGACAAGTCACCCACCGTCCCAGGCTACGAGGCAGCAAGAGATCACCCGTGCAGATTCTGTCTAGGTACCTGGGAGGTACAATTTGCTCTCAGATACTGAGACACTGGCACTTCAAACCCCACTACCAGCACAGGGGAAAAAAGGTCTGGATCACAAGGAGTCAGAACTAACTGCAGGGTAAACGGGTCTTGTTGTGTTTCATGTATTGTGGGATTGCAGAACTGAGGGAGAATGGCATAAGCTTGGAGACGGGAGGGGAGGTGACTATGGGCATTTACAGACGCATTTGGAAATCTGGAGGGTTGAGGAGGGTGGAGGGAGAAGTGAGATGTGACCCCCTTCTCCCCCAGTAAATCCTGTCCTCACGAATCATTCCAGACAAGGCCCTTTCTGGGGCAGCTTTGCCCCCACCCACCCCCAACACCTCCAAACCCACTTCTAGGAAACCGGCAGCACCTCCGACTATCACACACTGTAATGCCCTCGCGTGGGGAGGGGTCCGCAGATCCACGACCTACCTCTTCGGGAGCTGCTCGTTCTCTGCTCCTCGGCTCGGGTGAGGAGTCCGGGTTTGGGACTGAGCTCTTCGGTGCGGCCTCTGCTCCTCAGTCTCCTCACCGAGGGGGCGGCCTGTTCTCAAGGAGCTGGGTCGGGGTCTACCAGACAAGTTCACTTCGGCCGGGTCCCGTTCCTAGCAAGCCTGGAGCGGCCTCCCCAGTAACTGACCGCCCCTGGGGCCTCAGCCGATAGTGATGCGGATGGGCGGGTCTCAGAGCGTCCGAGGATCCTGCGCGACCGTCCTAGACCAAGGAGGCGCCACCGCCGCCGAGTGAGAGCCTTCGCCGCGGCCACCACGGCCCAGCTCGGCCCTCCGGCTGCAGGACCTCTCCGGGACTCACGATCGCGGGTCCCCACTCGGGCCTCCACCCAGCCGCGCGCACTGTTGCACGCACACACCACGCTCGCCTGGCAGCCGCCCCTACCAGTCGGCGCCCACACCCGGAGACGCCGGGATTATAGCCCAAGGGAGGCTAGAGCCTGGGAACAAGCGCTAGCGCTGACCTGCAGAAGGACCGGAAGCAGAGCAGTGTTGCGGCAGCGCGCATGCGCGAACACGCACGCAAGACTTTATGCGCACGCGCTTGAGAACAACGGAAGTCTGCCCATCAGTTTACATGGCTAATAACAGTACAAATAACTGGACCCTCCCAGGATCCCATAAGTCAATGCACCTCCTTTGCTTTTGTTGTTGTTGTTAGGTGCTATCGAGTCGGTAACGACTCACAGCGAGCCTATGCACAGCAGAACGAAACAATGTCCGATCCTGGGCCAACCTCACTACTGTTGCCACGCTTGAGTCTATCGATGCTGCCACTTGGCCAATCCCTCTCATTGGGAGGTCTTCCTCTTTTCTCTGACCCTCCACCTTACCAAACATGATATCCTTCTCCAGCGACTGCTCCCTCCTGACAATAGGTCCGAAGTATGAGAGATGAAGTTTGGCCATCCAGAGATGGAGGCAGAGACGATGACGTGGAGATGGAGCAACTGGGGACTTTAGACCCAGAGAGGGAGAGATGCTGTGTGCTGACGGAGGGGTGGGGCGTGGGTAGGGACGTGGGGGTGGGGGTTGAGGGGTGTTCAAGCTTGCAGGGTATACCCTCTGCTTGGTTGATGATACATGGAGGGGATTGTAACCATGGCAGTGAAACTATTTACTATAGGATGAATGTAAAGCTAATGTTCTCCCATGTCAGCTATCACATAATTCACAATAAAACATTTTAAAAAACAAAAAACACCAGCAACGCAACAGTGTTCTTGGTCAATCATTTCTTAACTGGTTTGTACTTACCTGCTAACCAAAAGGCTGGTTCTTTATATTCACCCTGTTACATTTCAAAAGAAAAGACTGATGATCTATTTCTGTAAAGACTGTTGTTGGTAAGTGCTGTGGAGTCATTTTCCATCATGGTGACACTGTATAGGGTTTCCGAGGAACAGCTAGCTGGTGGTTTGAATCACTTGCCTTGTGGTTAGCAGCTCAGTGATTATCCTATGGTGCCACGCCAGTATGGTGCTCCCCAAACCTATTTAACACGTAAGATCACTATGAGTCCAAATCAATTCAACTAGCAATATGTTTGTTTTGATTTATCTCACTCTTTAAGATTGTATCATTTCTGCTGGTCTTAAATTTCGTTGTGACTCTCCCTCTCCCATCAGCCTGGTCTCTGAAATAGACATGGAAAGTGGTTGTCCTGGCTTCCATCTGAGCATCATGAGGTCTTCAACAGGGAGCAGCCCCAGATAGTACCTCCAATCCCTTTTTTTTTTTTTTTCCATAAAGGAGCCTTCCAATAACTATACTTTTCCAACAGAAAGAATTCCCTGTTAGTTGAGTGAACGCTCCATCACTAGAGATGGTAAGCCAATTCAACAGACTACTTTTGAGGGACACCTAGAAAATGATGAAAGGTTAGGCTAGACCTGAGAGTCCCATGTTTCAAGTGTAGAATGGATAGAACATGGCATTTCCTGAGAGGAGGATGTAGAATGACTCTGAGACATGAAGGCTAGTTTGCAGGGGATAGTTGAAGGTTGGGGCAGTGGAATGAGATACCATTGACCCCAGATCTCCAGAAAAGAATACACATCGTTCTGGCAGTTACAGGTGTTTTCTCTCAAACTGGTTACCAAGTTGGTTTGACTGATGACATCACAGAATTCCAACCTTCCTGATTGGAAGGACCAAACTCTGTGGATGCTTGACAGTGGATGTGGATAACAGCATCTTTTCAGAGCTTTTCCCCGTTCCTAACTTCTCCCTAGTCTGAAGAAGAGCTAGTAGGATTGGGTTCAGTAAGAATACTGGAGAGTGTTTTAGACCTATCAGAGATTAGGTTCTGTGTAAAAAGAAGAAGTTGTTTGGGAGACGTTATGGCCAATTGTCTACCAAGTATCCAGTCTGAGGACCTGAGCCTGCAGCCCAATTGTTCAGGGTATGCCCTGGAGGTGATAGTGGATGAAGAAATCCCAGGACCATCAGGTGAATGGACTGGAGAGGGAAGAGATTTGAGAGGGTTGCCTAGTAACAGAAAGGGGTAGGGCAGTTAGGAAGGAGTGTCTAAGTAGGGTATGAGTTAAAAACTGAAGGAATTTGAGAGTGCAGGCACTAGAGACAAAGACATTCACGTGGTAAGTATACCTGGGAAGCAAGGAAGGAGGGCTAGGAGATGAAATCCAAGTAAGAGGAAAAGGAAAGAAGAGAGAAACAAGGCCAGCAGTCTACAAGAATGGAAAGGATGGAGGAGAGAGCTTCTTTCTATGATGGAGGAGTTTGGATGATAAATGGTTGAATTTCAAGGGATAAAAGCTTTTTACTGTAGCCTTGTTTCTTTACACAGCTCCCTGGGTAGAGTCTAGCTCCCAGCCTCACTTTCCTGGCTGGGAGAGGGATTGGTCAACAGTATTCGAGGAGGACCTAACCCCAGAAGTTGAGGAAACCTGGGTGGTAGAGACTCTTTGTGGGCTCAAGATGAAGTTGAAGAGACAGCAGGTGTCATCTGTTCTGCCTGAACACCATGAAGTCTTCAACAGGCTGCTTGGTAAGAAAAGGTTCCAGATAACACCCTCCAATACTACTTTTTAAAAAGGCGGGGGAGCGTCTAATATCTACACTTTTCCAACACAAAAGTATTCCTGTTAGTTGTGTGATCACTTCATCACTAGAAGCAGCAAGCCAACACTATATTGACCATTCCTGAGGAACGCTTAGAAAAGGATGGAGGATTAAACTAGACTTGGAACAGGTCTGCACTTGGAATAAGAAAACTTGGCTTCAACTCAGCCCTATGTTGTTGTTGTTATTAAGAGCTTTTGAGTTTGTTCTGACTCATATATCAACCCTGTATAGGATTTCCGAGGCGCTCCTATGAGTTTGAACTGCTGCGCTTGCGATCCAGACAGATTTTGCAGTCCAGTGTTTATCCTACACTGTTACACCAGGACTTCATAAAACATATTACTTCTTTATGCTTCTGTTTATCTTTCTAAATGTCTTCATTTGTACCAGGGAGGATAACAAGTCTGTCTTCACACCCCAAGATAATATCAAATGAAAGAATGGCTATGAAATGGTATATTCATGTGCACTGAAAGGGCATAATTGTTTATTTAAAAAATCTTAATCATGCTCAAGTCTACTGATAGCCAACTCTTTGGAGAACTCAGGCTAGGGAGTTACCCATCCCTTGCCAAGTAAATAAATGTTCTCTCTTCTATTCCTAGCTCCCTAACCTTTGGCCACAAACCTGAAACTTCTCTAAGGGTCAGATGGTTCTCCTCTTTGTTCTGGATTATGCTCGCTGCAACACTGCTCTGGTTCACAACCTAACGGTGTCTTCTTTTCACAGAGGATCCTGTAATTAAAAAATTTCTGGCCTGGGACAAAAACCTGAGAGTCTCTGACAAGGTAACATTATTCTCCACCAAACTCTATTCCTGCCCAAACACACACCTTGGGGCAGGGTGGGGGGTGCCTTCTAAACCCACAGTTCTAGATCTCTTTGCTTCTACATTTCTCCAACCTGATGCCTTACATAGTCCTGGCCTCTTCCTAACTGGCCAACACCTCTCTTTGGGATCCTAGAAGGTTCTTGAAGTGTAAATAGGCTGTTGTAAGTTTCTTAAGTCTATTCTGACTCATAATGAACCCTGTACAGGGTTTCCAAGGAGATATCATTGACCTCAGATAGTATTGGGAGGGTGGAGGGTAGGTTTGAACCACCAACCTTGCAGTTAGCACTCCAATGCTCATTCTACAGCACCACACCAGTACTTCTTTTTCAGGATATTTTGGAATCTGAATCCTAAACCAAAGTCTTGTCCTGGATATTGGTCTCTTTCGTTGCTGCCCACTTTATATCCCAGGCCCCTCTCCTCTCAGTTTCTTGGGATTCTCCTTTGCTCCTGCATATCAAAGACCCTCTTGATAACCAGACCTCCTGAACACATTTCCTCAAATTGTTAGTGATCACTATGCTGAATGTATCATGAACTTCCCTTTCTCTGACATCTCTCATTTGCAACCATACTTCTGACACCACCGTTCTGCTCCCCAAATAAGCATCCTCACCTAACACAGGTTCTCTTCCCTGAGCTGTAGTCTTCCATTCCTTGATCCCAAGGGTTCGTTTATGGGATGTGAACTCTCTTTTGTGCTTTTCTTCCCTCTCCCCATCAGTATCTCCTGAGCATGGTCATTGCATACTTTAGTAGGGCTGGCTTCTTCTCCTGGCAGTACCAGCGGATCCATTTCTTCATAGCTCTGTGAGTATTTCACCTCATTCCGTCAACCATTATTCAATATCCTGGTCCTGAGAGACAAAAGCAGGTTATGAACAGCTGCTAACTGAAAGTTTGGCAACTCAAACCCACCCAGAAGCACTATGAAAGAAAGAGCTATCTGTGTCCATAAAGATTACGATTGTTGTTATAGTTATGTGACGTGGAGTCGGTTCCGACTCATAGTGACCCTGTATAGGGTTTCCGAGGCTGTAGATCTTTACAGGAGCAGAAAGCCTCATCTTTCTCCTGAGGAACAGCTGGTAGTTTTGAACTGCTGACCCTGAGGTTCATAGCCCAATTCATAACCACTACACTACCAGAGCTTCTTAAAGATTAGATTATGATTCGTGCCATGAAAAACCCAATGGAACAGTGCTGCTCTGTATCACAGGGGTTGCCATGAGTTGGGATCGTCTTGACAGCAATGGGATTTGGGCGGAGGGTTTGGGGAATGTGGGCAGAAGAGAAGTGCAATTCTCACCTTCATCCACACACTAGTACTATTTACTCTGTGTATGAAAATGATACTCATTATTTGACTATAGGGCTTATAGTGTACTGGTTTGAAAAATACTGGTCCTTTAAGGGCAAACACCCTTGTGTTAGTCTAAAAACGTTGTACAAAACAAATGACAAAACCCTCCTAAGAGAAGAGTCCTGGTGTAGTGCTATAGGGTAAGCACTGGACTGCTAGCCACAAGGTCAGTTCAAATTCACCAGCTGCTCCTTGGAAACTCTATACCGGGTTGGTCTGAGTTGGCACCATCTCGATGACACTTCACAACAACAAGAAGGTAAGAGGAAGAAAGAACTGATCCCACCCACCATCAGTGTTGATATTACCAGCTGTCATTGAGTTAGTCCATGACCCATGGCACAAGAGATCAAAACGCTACCCAGCCCTGCACCAGTCCCTAATCAGTTGCACACTGGACTGTTGTTATCCATGTTACTGTTGTGAAGTGTCATCGAGTCAGTTCTAACACAGTGACCCTGTATAGGGTTTCCAAGGAGCAGCTGGTGAGCTTGAACCACAGACCTTGCAGTTCAAACCGACTTTGTAGTCCAGCGTATTATCCCACAGCACCACACTAGGACTCCCGATCCATAGGTTCTGTTGTGATCCACAGGCTCTGAAAATTGGCTGATTCTCAAGTAGATTGCCAGGCCTTTCTTCCTAAGCTCACCTTAGTTTAGAAGCTCAACTGAAACCTATTCAAAATTATAGCAACATGCAAGCCTCCACTGACAGATGGGTAGACACCACCATGTTGTTGTTGTTAAGTGCTGTCGAGTCGGTTCCAACTCAGTGCTACCCTGTATAGGATTGCCAAGGAGTGGTTGGTGGGTTTGAACAACCAACCTTGCAATTCAAACTGACCTTGTAGTCCATTGCATTTTCCTGAAGCACTGCTTCCCTCTGCCTTTTTCCCATGTTAGTGTTGTTGTTAAGTACCATGGAGTCGGTTCCAACTCATAGTGACCCACAGTGTTTCCGAGGCTGCAAATTTTTATGGAAGCAGAAAGCCTCATCTTTCTCCCGTAGAACAGCCAGTAGTTTCGAACTGCTGACCTTGAGGTTAGCAGCCCAATTCATAACCACTACACTGCCAGTGTTCCTTAGTACCACATGTAATTTCTGTCTTCTGGAGTCTCACTGCAAATGTCATGATTTATGTCCTCCTCACAGGTACTAGCCTTGTAAAACTCTCCCCGCCCATATTTCTCAGTTCCTCCCCAAACCTATCCACCATACACATGTCACCTGAATACCCTTCCAAAGCATAGGTCTAGCCACTGACATCTCTCCTTAAAAATTCTGTTGACTAATGACTTTCTTAATCAAGTCCAGAGTTTTCTGTTTGAACTTAACACTTCCTATCTCTCTTGATTAACATTCTAATATTTCAGTCCTTTGTTTCATTGTTCCTTCTAAGTACTCTGCCATTTCCTTCTTTCTTTTTATATTGTGTTTGTTACCTTTCATGTCATATATCTGAAGACAATGACCAATCCTTAAAATCAGTCCTAATACCAAAACCTTCATGATGGTCCAGTAGCAAGGTATTTTAAATCCTACTATAAATACCCTTTGAATCAGTGTTCTTCCCGATCTTCCTGATCCCCTTACACAAGCCCATGAGACTAGCTCCTTGTTGAAAGCAGGGGTCTTAGTTACCTAGTGTTGCTATAACAGACACACCACAAGGGGGGTGGCTTTAATGAACATGTTTACTTTCTCCATTTGTTGTTGTTGTTACATGCCATCTAGTTGGCACCAACTCATGACAACCCTATGTACAAGAGAATGAAACACTGCCTGGTCCTGCACCAACCTCACAATCATTTGCTACATTTGAGCCCCTTGCTGTTGACACTGTGCTAATCCAGTGACTTCTTCATTGCAAATGTCTTTTTAAAACAACATAAATGATGACTATACTCATGGACCTCACAAGATTGAATACACAGCACTTCCCAATTTCAAATTTTACTTCACAGCTACAGTGGTCAAACAGCTTGGTACTGGTACAGTGAAAGATACGTAGATCAATGGAAAAGAATCGAGAATCCAGAAATTAACACATCTACATACAGCCAACTGATTTTTGAAAAAGCACTTAACTATATTGCATGGGGAGGTGATACTCTCTTTAACAGATGGTGCTGGCAGAACTGGAAAGCGATATGCAAAAGATTGAAACAAGACCCTCACCTCACACCTTATATAAAAACCAACTCAGTGTGGTTTAAAGACCTAAATGTGAATCCCAGAATTATGAAGGCCATCATTGAAAAAATTGGGACAAATGTGAGGGCACTAATTCAGGGAATACACAGACTACCAAACATTTTGAAAACTACACAAACAAAAGTAGACAAAATAGATGAGTGGGACATACTAAAAATTAAAAACTTATGT